CTACCACTAGATGTGAGTAGTAGTAGTAGTAGTAGTAGTAGTAGTAGTAGTAGTAGTGTGAGTAGTAGTAGTAGTAGTAGTAGTGTGAGTAGTAGTAGTAGTAGTAGTAGTAGTGTGAGTAATAGTAGTAGTAGTGTGAGTAGTAGTAGTGTAGTGAATGAGGACACAGGTGGGGCAACCGCATTGTATTTAAAGAAAAATTACAGAGTTACTCAGTAAAATCGGAATACCATATGGTAAATCGTTCATTTGCAAAATATCAGTTCATCATATCGAACTGGACTGTTCCTCTGTGCCAAACATCAATCCATTGTCACTCACTATTCATGCGTTTCATACAAATTCCATTGTTTTCTAACTCTTCCTTTCTTGATCTTCCCCCCATATTATGCTACCAGACTTTGCGTTGACACTCACGTTATATACTACTTATAAGTAGTTCACACCACAGCACCACAGTAGTAGTAGTAGTAGTGTGAGTAGTAGTAATAGTAGTAGTGTGAGTAGTAGTAGTAGTAGTAGTAGTAGTAGTAGTAGTAGTGTGAGTAGTAGTAGTAGTAGTAGTATTAGTATTAGTATTAGTATTAGTATTAGTAGTAGTAGTAGTAATAGTAGTAGTAATAGTAGTAGTAGTAGTAGTAGTAGTAGTGTGAGTAGTAGTAGTGTGAGTAGTAGTAGTGGTAGTAGTAGTAGTAGTAGTGTGAGTAGTAGTAGTAGTAGTAGTAGTAGTAGTAGTAGTAGTAGTAGTAGTAGTAGTGGTAGTAGTGATAGTTTAAAGTGAAATCTTGATGACTTGTTTACGGCGGACTTTGGTTGTATCAATATTATTGTACAGTGTGTGGAATTTCATAATCTATCATACTTCTTCACCTTTCTCCACCGCCCCCCCCCCTTCGCGCTGGCTCTTCATCTTCTACGTCTTTTTCACTTTTTTTCATTCATTTAGCCTAAATTGCATTCATTGACAATGTTTACAAAGTGCTTAATTTTTGTTTTAATCGGTAACAACACAATAAACAGTGGTGGCATTTAAAATTATTCATTTGTGATGTGTGTGTGTGTGTAGGTAGCTATGGGGAGTTTAGAATGAAAGAATTATATGCACTCACAATCCGTATGTGCGTGTGCGTGTATGTCTGTAGTTTGAAAATGCTTACATGTATTATTTGACTGGAAAATGATGCATAAATCAGTTAGTAATGTTTGTATTAACTGTCATTAAAATAATAAAAAGTAGTCTTCTATGTGCAGAGTTTGGCAAAGAGAAGACATATTATCATAAATTAAGAAAAAAAATATTGACTACTATTATTGACCAACACAAAAAATAAAAAAACTATTTTCTATTTTATTTTGAATAAAATAAACAAGTGGTTGTTTTCATTGAAATGGAATCATTGGACGACCGTTTCGTCCTCTCATGGAACTCATCAGTTGTGCGCATCCAGGACTCATGCATCGTGCAGGATTCGAATGTGGGAAATTCGGTTTTGCTCGCAAACACGTAAACTTCTGAGGCCAATGAACTGGCATCCGACAGTGTTAATGTCAAACTCTGATTATTCTAGGGATTTAGCACGACGTCGCTCATCGTCTTTGATAGCTACTGCCTACACCTGACAGAAACGTACTACATTGGTCATATGTTCTCACTAGAACTCAGAAAATTTACTCACGAAGCTAGTCACTAATGAGCACAGTTATTGATTTTTGTATGATTGTTTTATGAAGATCGTTGTTTGGTATTGAAATCATTAATGAATCATTGCAAGCAGTAGATAACCGTTTCGTCCTCGTATGGGATTCATCACCCGACCGTAGCTGCTACCTTGACGTGGTGGTCGGGCTTGCCTATCGTGATGACCCAACCGAGCTATATTGGCTGGAACATATGTTCCTGAAGGTTCTACCATGCCAGGCAGGTCGATTGGAGAACGATGAAACTAAAAGCAGCTACTCAATGTCTGAGGGCGAAGTCGTACTGCTGACTGCAGAGGGGTGTGACAGCAGTAAGGTGTTTCCCTCAGACAACCAGCATCTGCAGCGATGCTGCCTTCTCACAAGGAAGGAAGGGTTAGAAAAGGTCGACCCTAAAAATGTCACATCTCACCCTACCTCACGGATTTCCGTCTCCTTGGGTAAGGGTGCCCACTAAGGGCTTTCAAGAGCTGAGCTAATACTAAAAAGCCTTTCATCAAAAGGCCGTCCGTGACCGGTCTCAAGCAGTTGTCCCTTGGGTTCTGCGGTCACGCTCCCAGGTCTCTAAGTCCAACACTAATTTATCTTCCTTTTCACGTACCTCAAGAAACAACCTTCCATGGTGTGGGCAGCCGGAAAGTGACATTCACCCTCATACCCGTACCAGCACACGAGACCGAATTAGTCAAAATCAAATTCCTCTTACACCCCCTACGAGGTGTAATGAATTTACTGATGGTATTTCAAGGTAACAGCTATACTGGATATACTACCAGGCAACCGAACGAATGAATAAGTAACTATCTCCCAAAATGGTTTGGAAGAGGCCAGATAAAAACAATACGCACTTCTATATTGGCATACCTGATTGATAGTGGTCATAATATTGACAAATAAATGTTAAGAGTAGATATCAGCATTATTAACGTCTGTAAAATATGTATACATATATTCATAACTAACCTTTCAAATTCTGTAAGGCGTGAAGAATCACGAAATCCTTTAGCAAATGGATTACAGTCAATTTTCAGTTTAGTTATCTAAAAAACAAAATGAGAAGAAACAAAAACAGTTATTCATTGAACTTTACTAGAAGGTTTACAAATACAATTCTTGATTGATGTCAATCTTTGAAAGCATATTATACATGTGACCTTGACATGTACCAAAGATGACCTTGAATCTATGTGCTATTTATTAGGCAGTAAGCCAATCGGAAACCGGTTTTTTACATGTTTTATGAATTTTCAAGATTTATAGTCTATTTTCTACGTTTAGATCAGTTAGTTTCTCATACAGGAGATCATTTTTTCAAAAACAGATCAATTTGTATCCAGTTTCGTTTGAAACAGTTGCAAATGATTCTAAGAATGAGATAATTATGAGTGCTGAGTTTTTATCACAAAACTTAACTATAATTTAGTCGATTAAAAAAGGGTGTGATCTGACAAGACAAGTATATCATCACAATTCTCTTGTACGGAGAACAAACTTGGAGAACTATGAAAGCAATCGTTCACAAGATACCGGTGTTTATCAACATTTATCTACTCAGGATGTTACTTATCTGTCGACCAAACACCATCAGCCATAACTTACTGTGGGATATAACAAAACTAGATTCCATTTTGGGGAATAAATCAGGAAAAAGTGCTGGAAGTGGATAGGACACACAATATGAAAATCACCCGACTGCGTTGCAAAACAAGCTCTAACTTGGAATCCTACTTGTTATTCTTTCTTATTAGAGAAGTCATCAGCAGTTTATATTGACAACTTCAAATTGAACATTGAATTATCAACTTTTAAACTTTCAAATTAGAAATCAATAACCTTTATATTTGAATGAATTAAATTTTATGTTAGAGTTTTGGAGATTCGTGTTTTTACATAATTTTAAAATCATCAATCAATCATTGTTAGAACACCGTTAGAAACCTGGAAGCACTGAAAGACGGCCGTTTCGTCCTGGTATAGGACTCATCAATGGCAGTGCGCATCCACGACTCCTGCACCTCGCAAGATTCGAACCCGGGACCTTCGGTATTGTGCGCGAACGCCTAACCATCGGACCACTGAACCGGTATCTAACGGTGTTAATGTCTGACTCTGATTGATCTACGGAATTTGCACGACCTCACCCATTTGTCTTTGATAGTTACTGCTTACACCCGAATAGGGTTGAACTCCATTGGTCACAATGTCTTCTCTCACTAGAACTCTGAGAATTTCCTCACGAAGAAGCTAGTCAGTCACTAGTGAGCATATGTTACAATATTTTCTGTTAGAGTTATGAAGATTTGTGTTTTTACACATTTGAAATCATCAATCAATCATTTAAATTTTCAATAAATCAATCAATAAAAACAAATGTATAATTTACCAATTGATTTTGATAAGCAGTCACAGCAATGAAAATCGTTTCAGGAAATGTAAATGTTTTAATATTTTCATTTGGTAATCTATCTAATGATTTAGGGTATGTTGTTGTATTTGTTGTTAGTAAAGAATTAATAATGAATTGATTATTCATATTATTAACAATAATATCATCATCATTATTTGGATTCATTGATAATTGAATTAAATGTACTCTTGGTTGATATTTATGCATTGAATTTAAAATAATCTGTGTGTTGAAGAAAAAAAGATTAAATTGAACATTGATACGAATGGCGTCATTAGTGAATAATTTAAAATAATAAAATTAGTTGAATAATGTAACATCTAATAAATATGGCGTACAATAATCAATCCATTGAAATAATTCAATGTTCAAGGTTATCAATAAATAAACTATTCAACTGTTCTACATTAGTGAAATTCATATGAATCATAGAAATGAGAAGGTAGAAATCAAATGTTTGTATTAGAAAGAAAAAAACGAGTCATTAAGTAACCTTTCTTTTGTTTAAATATTAGTAATCATGATCTCGAAGCAGCATCCACGGACCTCCCAATTAATATTGGCGCACCTACGATTGAGGAGATCAGTATGGCCATCAGACAAATCAAGAGCGGCAAAGCAGCAGGACCAGACAACATTCCAGCAGAGGCAATGAAAGCAGATGTAGAAGCAACTGCGAAAATATTTTACATCCTCTTCAAGAAGATTTGGGATGAGGAACAAGTACCATCAGATTGGAAAGAAGGATACCTGATCAAAATACCAAAGAAAGGCGATCTCAGCAAGTGTGAGAACTACAGAGGTATCACTCTTCTTTCAATACCAGGCAAAGTCTTCAACAGAGTATTGTTAAACAGAATGAAGGACTTCGTAGACGCCCAACTTCGAGATCAACAGGCCGGATTTCGTAAGGATCGATCGTGTACTGACCAAATTGCTACTTCACGTAGGTCATTTGATCAAAATGGACTCAAAATTCAAAGTCATTTATAAGGTGAATAGAAAGTAGCGAAAGGTAATGTGTTTCAATCTATTTTTCGCATCACCAAAGCATTTGTTCTACATTCGAAAAAAGCTAGAACTATGTGTACAAGAAAACTTGCACCGTGGTCTTGAAATCTGTTCACTTTTACTTCCCGTTACTTCTTTCATAACCATCTGCTTCCCTTCTGTCTTCTTCTTCGGCATAGAGCTTTTACCTCCAACTGATTTGTTTCTGTTTTTAATGATCTGTTTCTTTTGATTAGAGTTACGGAAGTCAATGCTTTTACATACATTGAAATCATCAATCAATCAGTGTTAGACCACCTTATCGGAAATCTGGAAGCACTAAGTGGCTGTTTCGTCCTAGTATGCGACTCATCAGCAATCCGCATATGAGACTTATTATGCTGATTTTTTCATTTCCTTATCTGTCATCAAGATGAATATTCAAATTCTCAAGAACAACATTATTATCAGTTTCCTTGATTAAAAAAATATAACATTTTAATGTAGCTACTGGGAGAAAGAACTACCATTAATCTTCCTGGCACATTGTGTCTCGGCACAGGGAACAACCAGGAAGTCACCGTTCCAGCTGATGCATGGAAGACGGCCGAGACTACCAACGCATGATAAAACCTGGCCGCAACAACAGAGATGGAATACAACAAGGTTGAGAACAGAGCGGAGAC